ATCAAATATTGTGTTAAATAATTACATTTTGCAGAGCTGTCGTTCGGTTTTTGTACACGAAATCGACGCAGCAGATTCTTCTGAACAGATCTGTGTCCTCGGATCACGTTTTGGTTGTTTAATTTAACCGTAATTAATGTTTTTCTGGCGTCTATACACAGCGCATATGTAGCGAAAGTGGCGCCTCTCGCGGAGAAAGAGCGAAGCTCCGTACGGGGTTCGTACAGCGCCAATTAGGACCTGTCTCTTATACACATCTCCAGCTAACGCTTTCAAAGCCCTGTCTCTTATACACATCTCCAGCTAACGCTTTCAAAGCCCTGTCTCTTATACACATCTCCAGCTAACGCTTTCAAAGCCCTGTCTCTTATACACATCTCCAGCTAACGCTTTCAAAGCCCTGTCTCTTATACACATCTCCAGCTAACGCTTTCAAAGCCCTGTCTCTTATACACATCTCCAGCTAACGCTTTCAAAGCCCTGTCTCTTATACACATCTCCAGCTAACGCTTTCAAAGCCCTGTCTCTTATACACATCTCCAGCTAACGCTTTCAAAGCCCTGTCTCTTATACACATCTCCAGCTAACGCTTTCAAAGCCCTGTCTCTTATACACATCTCCAGCTAACGCTTTCAAAGCCCTGTCTCTTATACACATCTCCAGCTAACGCTTTCAAAGCCCTGTCTCTTATACACATCTCCAGCTAACGCTTTCAAAGCCCTGTCTCTTATACACATCTCCAGCTAACGCTTTCAAAGCCCTGTCTCTTATACACATCTCCAGCTAACGCTTTCAAAGCCCTGTCTCTTATACACATCTCCAGCTAACGCTTTCAAAGCCCTGTCTCTTATACACATCTCCAGCTAACGCTTTCAAAGCCCTGTCTCTTATACACATCTCCAGCTAACGCTTTCAAAGCCCTGTCTCTTATACACATCTCCAGCTAACGCTTTCAAAGCCCTGTCTCTTATACACATCTCCAGCTAACGCTTTCAAAGCCCTGTCTCTTATACACATCTCCAGCTAACGCTTTCAAAGCCCTGTCTCTTATACACATCTCCAGCTAACGCTTTCAAAGCCCTGTCTCTTATACACATCTCCAGCTAACGCTTTCAAAGCCCTGTCTCTTATACACATCTCCAGCTAACGCTTTCAAAGCCCTGTCTCTTATACACATCTCCAGCTAACGCTTTCAAAGCCCTGTCTCTTATACACATCTCCAGCTAACGCTTTCAAAGCCCTGTCTCTTATACACATCTCCAGCTAACGCTTTCAAAGCCCTGTCTCTTATACACATCTCCAGCTAACGCTTTCAAAGCCCTGTCTCTTATACACATCTCCAGCTAACGCTTTCAAAGCCCTGTCTCTTATACACATCTCCAGCTAACGCTTTCAAAGCCCTGTCTCTTATACACATCTCCAGCTAACGCTTTCAAAGCCCTGTCTCTTATACACATCTCCAGCTAACGCTTTCAAAGCCCTGTCTCTTATACACATCTCCAGCTAACGCTTTCAAAGCCCTGTCTCTTATACACATCTCCAGCTAACGCTTTCAAAGCCCTGTCTCTTATACACATCTCCAGCTAACGCTTTCAAAGCCCTGTCTCTTATACACATCTCCAGCTAACGCTTTCAAAGCCCTGTCTCTTATACACATCTCCAGCTAACGCTTTCAAAGCCCTGTCTCTTATACACATCTCCAGCTAACGCTTTCAAAGCCCTGTCTCTTATACACATCTCCAGCTAACGCTTTCAAAGCCCTGTCTCTTATACACATCTCCAGCTAACGCTTTCAAAGCCCTGTCTCTTATACACATCTCCAGCTAACGCTTTCAAAGCCCTGTCTCTTATACACATCTCCAGCTAACGCTTTCAAAGCCCTGTCTCTTATACACATCTCCAGCTAACGCTTTCAAAGCCCTGTCTCTTATACACATCTCCAGCTAACGCTTTCAAAGCCCTGTCTCTTATACACATCTCCAGCTAACGCTTTCAAAGCCCTGTCTCTTATACACATCTCCAGCTAACGCTTTCAAAGCCCTGTCTCTTATACACATCTCCAGCTAACGCTTTCAAAGCCCTGTCTCTTATACACATCTCCAGCTAACGCTTTCAAAGCCCTGTCTCTTATACACATCTCCAGCTAACGCTTTCAAAGCCCTGTCTCTTATACACATCTCCAGCTAACGCTTTCAAAGCCCTGTCTCTTATACACATCTCCAGCTAACGCTTTCAAAGCCCTGTCTCTTATACACATCTAGATGTGTATAAGAGACAGGTCCTAATTGGCGCTGTACGAACCCCGTACGGAGCTTCGCTCTTTCTCCGCGAAAGGCGCCACAATCGCCGAAGTGTGCAGAATGCGGAGCCGCTTAAAAACATCAATAATGGCAAAATTGAGCAACCAAAAAGTAAACCAAGGGCGCGGAACTCTTCAGAAGAATCAGTTACATCGATATCGTAGATAATCACCTTCACTATCGTGCAATATCACTTCATTAAACGCTTTCTCGCAAAATTGTTTATTGTCATTCTGATTCCGGTCGTTGCCGAACAATCTTATAACAATTCGATTAAAATCTATCATATGTATATATCGTCGATCAGTTTCCAGATAATTTCAGTTTCAGAAATTCATCCTTTCCCCGATCGTCATAGCAGTTATTCTGCGATCGGTTCTTCAAAGGGGACGCTTGTAACTCCTCATCCTTAAATATTCTTTGAAATCCTGCAAAGAGAAACGGTAATAAAGGCAACAGAAATCTTCCGAATATGATTGATTAAATTAAACGAATCTAGTTGGAATCTAATTGTCGACAGATGCGTTGACCTGGTCTAAGTCATAGAGCGACATAAGTACCTCAAAGCTGTCTGGAATCCTTGAAATGTACTCGAAACGCGCATCCTCTTCTTCCGTAGACAAATTGGACCGTTTTTTCCTTCCTGCCGATACGATGCCGATCGGAAGAAGAACTGGATTCGTGGCTAATGCAGCGGCTGCACCGATCAGGGCAACTCCAGCTAACGCTTTCAAAGCCACGGCCTAAAACAGGAAGAAAAGTCGTGAATGAAAAGAAGTATGTTCGAACGCGGGTTCGACGAACGTATTACGCTAGAAACAAAACTTCTCAAGGACAAGTACTATTCTTCTCTAAGCAGCAGTTCCTTCTTATGTAATCCCGATATAGAGGGACTGCCAATAACTTATAATTTTCTTAAACAATGTCCCATGAGAACAGAGAAACTAACCCTTAGCGACAACCCTTAGCAACAACCCTGTGCTAAATAAACCATCTGGTTAAAAGCATTAATAAATAAATAAATGAATAGATGAATGAATGAATGAATAAATAAATAAATAAAAGTAAAGACAGAAGGAAAGGAAAAAAAATGAATAAATAAAAAATAAAGACAGAAAGAAAAAAAGAAAAATGAACAAATAAAAATTAAAGACAGAAAGAAAGGAAGAAAAACGAATAAATAAAAAATAAAGACAGAAAGAAAGGAAGAAAAATGAATAGATGAAAGACAGAGACAGAAAGAAAGAAATAAAAATGAATAAATACTACAACCGCATCCATGTAATACCTTCTGGGTCTGAATATTTGGTACGGAGGGAGCACTCCCTTCCGGGAAATTCGGCTCCGCTGGTCCGAATTCATCGCCATTGGCGAGGGATCCCGAAATTCCGTAAGCACTGCTCGTCGACCCGGTGGAACTGGACGGTCTGCCACCGCTGTATCCTCCTCCGTAACCACCGTTGCCATAACTGTACCCTCCAGAAAATCCGGTCTCGTAGCCACCGGGTCTGCGGGTACTTTCACTCGCATAGCTCGGACGGAAAGCGAACCTAACGTTTGCACGAAAGCACGTTCAGCGATCCGTTCAGCGATCCAGCCAGCGATCTGTCTGATCAATCGGTTACCTATCTCCTGAGTGACTGCCTTCGTAGCTGCCGCCGGGGTTGTTTCCGCCCGCGGGTCTCCGCGTGATCCCGTTCGAATCCGGAGGCTGCCCCTGCCATCCGTATCTAGAAATCGTCCGATTAATTATCTTTCTTTCTTATTTTTTTCTTTTTTCTAGAAAGCTCTCCAGTCCCTTCGAACAGTACCTGTCGACCGGTAAACGTTCGCCGTATCGCGTCGAGTGTCGGTCAGCGTCCGCGGGGATCTTGTGATAATTATCTGGTCGCGTCGACGAGCCGGAAGCAGCGTGCCTGGGCCCGCAACAGCTGGAACTTGCGAATTTTAATGGATCGTGATGCATACCTTCGCGGATCGAGGAATTATTCGACGATTCTTTGCGGGGGTGTTCTAGTGCGAACTTTTGGAAAAATCCTCGTCGAAGTTAGAAAATGACACAAGCACTTCACACTAGAATACAGCAAATTCTCCCCAATTTTCTTCTAACTTGTAATAAAAATAAATAAATAGACAATTTAGGAAGAGGAGATACGATTATTCGAGCCTCGCGGCTCGTTCCTATAGTCGTCGATTATTAACTATGAAAACGAACCGCGAGACTCTACTAATCGCATCTTCCCTATAGCTGAGAGATTATAATAATAATTATATATATTATATATATAATAATATAAATAAAAATAATACATATCATATAATATATATTAATAATTATTATTAATAATTATATTATATATTAATATATTATAATAATTATAATAATAAATAAAAATTATTATAGTTGTTGACAATTGATAGCTATAAAAACGAGCTCGAACAATCGTATCTCCTCTTTCCAAATCGTCCAGTTTGCGTTATAAACCGAAGGAAAATCGGGGAGAATATCCCGCGCCCCCCTTAAATAATGCAACTTATCTCTCGGGTCGCTTTCGACCCGATGAACGGTCGCCCTCGACTGCTTCTCCAGGCTTCTGTCGTGCGCCTCGGTGTCGTTCGCCGATTGTTGCGGATTCGAAGTGTTCCAGCCGCGTACGATATTGATGAACAAATTGTCGCCGCCGGGGTCCCTCTTCGCCGGCTGTTCGGTCAGATTGTACCTCGTTTTCTCGCAGTGCGCGCAGCAAACGATCGTAGCCAACAAATAAACGCGGATCAGTGGTCGCGCCATGACGATATAAACGGTTGGATGAAAAACGCTCTTCTCGAAACTTCTTCGCGAGCTCTGGCCCCGCGGATTTCGGTGAGAAGACGCCGCGAAAGTGACTCTTACCTTCGCAGAGTTTCACCTTTTTATGGAACGGTCACGCATGGCGAATTGTCGCGCATTTACCCTTCAGGACTGCTGGCACCCGACCGTCTGCCCTGCTGGCCGGCTCGGGATCGTTCCGCGATCGTCGTTCCACGTTTATTTCCATGTTCCATCGACTCTTCCGATCGATTCGCCGTTCGATGCCCGCGGTTATCCGTTGGAAAGCCGACGGTAGGACGGCAAAGGAAACGCCGTTTACAAGGAGATGGCTCGCCGCGACGGTTTTTCGTTGCGTCCCTGTGAACTACAAAGTGTGACAAAACGGTGCACAGGAGTGTGTCGGTGAAAATAAAGTGGCGCGGGTGAGTCAACGCCGCTTCTATTCTTCCACGGACACACAACAGCCGACTGTTTTCAATTAAAGTCGCTGTTTTTCTTTTTTCTTTGCAGCAGTTTTGCACCGAATATTATTGTCGCCGTAGGGAACACGACGATTAATCACGGAACGGGGAATCCGCGAGGTTTCGCGTCTCGAAACGAGGAGACGAGCCACGGTTGCAGCGCGACGACGGACGCGGTAATTCCGCGATCGCGAGATCGCTGCTCGTTTAAATAACACGCGCGAGAAGTCCCGATTAATTTGAATAATAAACAGATTACGGCCGCGTTCCCGTTGGCGCGTCGTTTAATTAATCCGCGAATGGCACTACATTTACCCGGAAGTTCAAGCCGCGTGTCGCGAGCACACATACACACACACACATATATCTTGTTTCTTTTTTTTTCTCTCTCTCTCTCTATATGTATATATGTATATGTATATCTCGTCCGCTTTCTCGTCGCGCGGCTTAAAATCCTCGGCCGCGTCGCGCAAGTTGTATGTTCCCATTGCAAAAGGACCTCGGCCTGCCGGCGGCTTCGTTCGTTCCATCTTTTCAAAACTTTCCGAAGGCCTCTCGCTGCTCGCCGCATCCGGCCGGCGTTTTCGAGCGTGGCTTCCGACGTTACAAAATCCCGAAAGGTACGCCGGAATAATTTGTTCCGCCTGGATATTTACGGCCGTTGAAACCGATCCGGTTGCGTCATATCTCGAATTTTATCTACGGCTGTGCCAAGGCTATTTTTAAAAAGGTAATAGACGACGAGAAGGAAACGCGCGATTACGACGCGGCTCGCATCGCCGATAGATACCGGCAGATAAAATGTAATCGCGGACACCCGGGAGAGACGATCGACGTCGAGAAAGTTGCGACGACGTTCGACGCGAATCCGCGGCGAAATCGAATTTCGAGATTGCGACGGGAGACCCGGCGGCGAGAAATCGGCGCCGCCTGCGTTTGATTTAATTCGATTTATTTGGATTTTTTATTCGATTTAAGATTCGGTTCGATTCGATTCGATTCAATTTGATTTAAGATTTAGCTTGAATTTTTATTTGATTTAAGATTTAGTTCGATTCAATTCGATTTAAGATTTAGTTTGATTTTTTATTTGATTTAAGATTTGGTTCGCTTCAATTTCATTTAAGATTTAGTTCGCTTCAACTGGATTTAATTTCATTTAAGATTTAGTTTGCTTCAATTTGATTTAATTTCATTTAAGATTTAGCTTGATTTTTTATTTGATTTAAGATTTAGTTCGATTCAATTTGATTTAAGATTTAGTTTGATTTTTTTATTTGATTGAAGATTTAGTTCGCTTCAATTTGATTTAATTTCACTTAAGATCTAGTTTGCTTCAATTTGATTTAATTTCACTTAAGATTTAATTCGATTCAATATCATTTCATTTAATTGTACATATAACGGCTGAAAACCCATTTCTTACAACACACGACTAAAATCAAATGCCAATTGAACGCAGAATCCGTGAATCTCGGCGATTTATGTGAACCCGTTCGCGTAAACCCGTTTTCGAATTTTGTGAGATCGGCTGTAACAAACATGCCTGTTTCGTCGCCATCGTCGAACGGTCCCGTGAAAGGGGTCAGCCGCGGTAAATCTCGACGAGTAGAATGACTTTGTCGGTGCGCGCGGGGATTGCGATGCGATACGCGATATCACGGGGGCTAATTCGAACGAGGGTGTGGGAAGCTCGTTGATGAAACGGAAAGATTTGTTGCGCGGACGAACCGAAAGAGAGAAGAAGAAGAAGCCAGCCGCGAAAAAAAGAGGAGGCAAGCCCTGGTTGGAGGGGTAGGTGGACCGAAGGAGGAGGAGGAGGAGGAGTAGGTGGAGGTGGTGGAGGAGGAGGAGGAGGAGATACAACGAGGACCAAGAGATCGCGGAATGGAGCAAGAGTGGAGTAATCAATACGCATTCACACGCGGCCGCTCGCATCCCGTTTCCATGGGGACCGACGCTGGCGCATGTGCAACCTTTCACCCGTGCCGTGTCATTCTGCCGGAGCAGCCGACTCAGAAGCTGTTCCGTACCAGTCCGGTGCGGAACATTGGAACATTCTATGCGCGAGATCCGCAGCCCCGCCGTCCACGCATGCTCGCGGTTTCGGGCCGCAGGGTGCACGACGCACCTTGCGACTCCGCGCTTTCGAACCTCTGCCGATCTTGCCTCGCTGAGGGCATTCGGCGGGTACCTCGCTACCAGGTGCAGCAAATTCTCCCGAATCGACTGGCCCAGCCTGGAAACGAAGATGCGCGACCCGCGAAGAGATACGATCGTTCGATACGAGGAGATACGCGATGCTCGAACAGTCGAGGCTCGAATATAATCGCACCGCCCTCCCCGACTTCTCAATTTCCCTGTTTCCGAGGCAAAGGAAACAATTCCAGGAAATCGTCGGCAACGTCCCCGTTCGCTTGCCCCGATTCGCGGGACAGCCGGCGATCGAGGCTCGCTTAAAATCGCGTTCGATCGTCCATTATAGAACGCTCGGCGTCGGAGCGAGTTGACTCTCCCGGTGTCTGTCGTTTGTCCATATACTCGAGGGTACGGTACGCTATGGTAGAGCGCGGCCGACTCGCGGATGTTCACCCCCTGGCCGAGCCAAAGGGGATGGAAGCGATCGAGTTTGCGGGTTACAGGGGGGGTGGTTTTCCTCGGGGCGCCTGCGTCGAGTCCTCGATGACGGCTCGACTAGGTAGGTGCTCGACTCGGACGCAGTACGGAAGAAACGTTCGGCACGCAGAGTGCCGCTCTCCGTTCCGCTCGCGACGTCGTGCCTCTCCGCCGTTCATTTTCCCCCAGTTTCCAATCGCGATAACGGATCAACGAGAACGGGATCGTCGGTCGCACCACCGGTGCCCGGTTCGTCGATCGGCGAGATTGATCGTCGCCGGCCGGAGAGCCGCGGCCGCGCGCGGGACACGCGCCGACGTTTTTCGCCTTCGATCCTGGCGCAAAGTGTCCTTTCCAGAATTAATCTCGAGCGTGTCGCGGATTGACCGCGAATCGAGGGGCCTTCCGGGGGGAGGGGGGGTGGTGGGTGGTTACTGCGAAAGCGGAAACGTTTTAGATGCCACGAACGACGGCGAGCGACTGGCTCGCGCAACGAACGACGAAAACTCGTTCGTCTCGCAAGATAAGCCGCGTGTCGACGCGAATCAACGTGACGCGGCGACGCATGTACGGCAACAAACTTCCGCTTTCTTCGTGAAGTGTCTCCTCTACGATATCGCGGGCTCGCGCCTGCGAGCGTGGTGTGCGTGCGTTTTTCTGTGTGTGCCTGCTGCTGCGCGCTCGTGTACGGACGACGTGTCGCAACCTGAAACAACGACGACGTCGACGACGACGACGACGACGACGAACGGGAGACTCGCCGATGGTCAGCGCCGGGGGACCGTTTTAAACGGTGCATAAAGACGACGAGCCGCGGTCGCCATGTATCCGTCCGAGCGACGTCGGCCGAGCCAATGAATTAAGGCCGACCAGCGAAGGAATGCGCGTCCAGCGGACGAGAGGTTAATTGTCGAAGACGATCCAGCCGCCGGCGGTCTTATCACCGTAAAGGCGAGAGCTTAGTCGGATTTAATCGTCGCTTGCATGTGGGTCACAAGTTGCATTCGCCATCAGCTAACGAGATAGAGGGTTTCACCGAGTAGAGAGGTAAGTAAGCCTGTTAAGTTGCGTTACCCTCGCCGCGGAGGTCCCGCGCCACCCCGCCGGGCCCCTCCCCCCTCCCGCTCCCGATTAATTCGCGTCGTCACCCAATGTTTCCCGGCAGGCGACTTCGAGATTTAACGTGGGTCGAAGCAGCCGAAAACTTGACATTGCTCCCGTTCCCCGAGCCGCCGTCGAGGAGAGACACGCGACGAAATGACGGAACGCGAGATCCGCGCGGCGAGCAGCGAACGTTCCGCAGTAATTCGAGACGCGCGGTCTAGGCGCGACTTGTCTGCCCTAATCTGGTTTAGTCTGGTTCCAGACTAGCGTAATCTACTCCAGCCTGGTCTAATCTGTTCCAGTCTCTAGGCCTGGTCCGTTCCCGGTCGAGTCACCGATACGAAGTCACGTGGTGTGGTTGCAGTTTACGGTGTCCTTAACCTCCCGGAAAATCAATGTTCCTCGCGTAACGACATGCCAGAGACCGCGAGAGTTCTTTATTGCCCGATAAGCGGGGATTCGTGTACTAGCCAGCGTTCTATTATAAATCTCGCTCTGTTCAGCAAGGAAACCGTCCGCCGCTGCCGGAGCTTGTCGCGGCTGGCGTGTCGTTGCAGCGCACAACTCGGCCCCTTGCCGCGTAAAACTTGATCGATGGCAAATCGCGAGCCATCGTAAATTCTGCTGTTCCCGCTTTAATTCCATTTATAGAAACCCGACCGGGACTAATACCCGACTCAGGGGCACCGATACCGCCGGGCATTAACAAGAAAGGATTATCGCCTAGCGTCGCATCGAGATATTCGCGATCTTTCTATAAGGTTTCGTTCCATCTCGAAGGCCTAATTCGCGGGGCCTGAACCGCTGGCCCGGAACGCAGGCATAATTCGCGGGGCCTGGACCGTGGGCCCTGGTCGCAAGCCTAATTCCCGAGGCCTAATTCGCGGGCCCGGATCGCAGGTCTAATTCGCGGGGTCTGAATCGCAGGCTTAATTCGCGAGGCCTGAACCGCGAGCCCGGGTCGCAGGCCTAATTCGCGGGACCTAAACTGCGGGCCCGGAACGCAGGCCTAATTTGCGGGACCCCTGAACCACGAGCCCGGGTCGCAGGCCTAATTCGCAGGACTTAAACTGCGGGCCCGGAACACAGGCCTAATTCGCAAGGCCTAATTCGCGGGGCCCTGATCGCAGGCCTAATTCGCTGGGCCCAGATCGCAGGCCTAATTCGCTGGGCCTAAACCGCGGGCCCGGAACACAGGCCTAATTCGCAAGGCCTAATTCGCGGGGCCCTGATCGCAGGCCTAATTCGCTGGGCCCAGATCGCAGGCCTAATTCGCTGGGCCTAAACCGCGGGCCCGGAACACAGGCCTAATTCGCAAGGCCTAATTCGCGGGGCCCAGATCGCNTCGCGGGCCCGGATCGCAGGTCTAATTCGCGGGGTCTGAATCGCAGGCTTAATTCGCGAGGCCTGAACCGCGAGCCCGGGTCGCAGGCCTAATTCGCGGGACCTAAACTGCGGGCCCGGAACGCAGGCCTAATTTGCGGGACCCCTGAACCACGAGCCCGGGTCGCAGGCCTAATTCGCAGGACTTAAACTGCGGGCCCGGAACACAGGCCTAATTCGCAAGGCCTAATTCGCGGGGCCCTGATCGCAGGCCTAATTCGCTGGGCCCAGATCGCAGGCCTAATTCGCTGGGCCTAAACCGCGGGCCCGGAACACAGGCCTAATTCGCAAGGCCTAATTCGCGGGGCCCAGATCGCAGGCCTAATTCGCGGGGCCCGAATCGTGAACCCGGGTCGCAGGCCTAATTCGCGGGGCCTGAACCGCGGGCCTGGATACCGGGAATCGCGGGTCCGGATATTTCCTCCCGCGCTCTCCGCGATTCTCTCTCGGCGAGCCGCGTGTCCGGTGTGTCTTCCGTTCAGGAGAGTTTGTCGTTGCTCGGCCGAGAATCAGGTCAGCGAAGAAACTCACCGGCTCGGAAATATCCTCCGTCGGGTTCGTCAACCATGATTCGGATAGGGTTCCGTAGGACGCTGTTTGTACGGTTCGCTTGAAACGTAGTTGGGCGAAGGTGGTGTGTCGCACGGATCCCGTTGCGAGTGACACCGCTGACACGATGGAGGGTTTCTTCTTCTAGCGGCCGTCGTTCAGAATGCACGGCAAGTTCTCCCTAATTGACTTCTGCTCAGATTGCGCGGAAAGATAGGCAATTTGGGAAGAGAAGGTACGATTATTCGAGGTCTTGCGGCTCGTTTTCACACTTGTTGACAATCGGTAACTGTGAAAACGAGCCGCAAGATTATTTTATACCAATAATCGTGTCTCCTCTTCCCAAATTGTCCATTTTTTGTGTACCATCCGAGCGTCAATTAGGGAGAATTTACTGTACTCGGTACACGACACGAAGTCCGACGTTCCGCGTCTTGCAACCCCTACGTTGGACGGCGGATGCTGGGTCCTTTCGGGCCCAGAGTTACAAGCATTCCATCAAAATTCTAATCTTTTTAGCAGTCGTATGTAATTATTAACTATTAACTCCTTTTGATGGATCCTCGTGTCGTTCGGTAATTTTAATAATCGTCCATAAAATACTCGAAACAAACGGCACAGATTGCGTAAAGATTATTCAGATATATCGCGGAGCATAAAAAATAGGAAGCTAAGAAAGGGATAAACAATTTCACACAATTTGACGAGCTGATCGTTAATATCGTTGGCCGCACGGTAAACAACCACAATTTTCGCGTCGTCCACGATCAATTAATATTGCAACTAACGAAAGGATTAACTTTGGTCTCGACGAAGTGGTTTCGATGATATTTCAATTTCGTTGGAATTCAATTTTATTACATTAAATTAAATCTTATTATTATATATTAAATTTGATTATCACATATTGAATTGTATTATATTAAATTAAATTTGATTATCCTATATTAAATTCAAATAATATTTAAACGTATGAAAGAGATTCGAACGAGCCCAGCTGCGGCAGCCATAAATGCTGAAAAAAAGCCCGCCGCCCGAAGGTTAACCGCTCGAACGGATCGAACGCGACGAACTCGACGAACTCGACGACTCGTAACCGCGCGCAAAGAGAATCCGTCGAAACGTGGCAGGCAGTTCGTCGTCACAAGGGTGGCTCGTCGATGGACAAAGCGACCAGGCACGTTCCCGTCGGCATCAGCTCGAATCGCCGTCAGAATTCCTAACCGGTCCGGACGCGCGCGCGCGCGCACCTTTCATTTTTCGCGGCCTGTGCCTCAATATTGCACAAGCTGGCAGAAGCTTTGGCTTCGCTCTTTCGTTCTCCGGGGGGTGCGCGCGAGGAACGCGAGAAAAAGCCGCGACGAAAAAAAAAAGAAAAAAAAGAAAAGGGTAAAAGACCGCGGCGACGAGGCGCACGGTGAAAAGTGGTTCTTTGCATGCGCATCCGCTGTAACGAGAGCCAGCCTTGATCCCCGGCCTGAGAATGCGTTAATGATCATTTCCGCGGTGCATAGTCGACGCGCAAGAAAATCTCGTTGCCGGCGCTGCGCGCCGAAACTGTCCGACGTTTAAAAATATTGTTCGAGCCGGGTCGCCACGCGCGATCCCGTGGAAATTTCAACGATCGCGCGGCCGCTCCGTAAGACGATCGTCTCGAATGTCATTAATTACTCGGGACGAGGAAGGGGCGAGGGGAGGAGGCGCTCGAATTATGGAACGCTTCGTACATTTGGGAGAATTTTACTGTACGCCGAGAGAACCCGAAAGACACATCGAGACGTTTATCTTCATTTATTTTTCGTTTATTTTTTATTTCATCTATTCCGAACCCTTATCCATTCAGCCAAAGGAAAAACTCGTTCGGCCCGGTGACTCGAACAATAGAATAACAACAAAGACAAGAATGATAGACTCTACCTAGCCGCGTCTTAGCCGCGTCGCCTTTCGCGGTCGGTTTCGTCGATCGGGATCAAGGATCGAGAGCGATCCACGGGACTCGGTGGTGTTTAAGTAAATCGGGAGCCGTTGGCGCCGAACCGAGAAGGGCAACGTGCCGGAAACACGCGGGGCAACCTCGCGGTGGGAAGAGATCCTCGGACAAATGGCGAAACGGCCGCGAAAGGAGCATCCAGAGCATGTGCCGTACGGCACACGGGAATCAAGAGAAGTGCGAGTGTCGGCGCGGTGGAGGAAATTGTCTGACTGCGCGTTCCCTTTTCGGGATCCGGACGCGGCAACGCATCCCCTCGTGACTCGAGTTAAGCTGAGGGGAAGAAAGGGAGAAACCCGGAGAAAGAGAAGCCGGGGGAGAGAAAGAGAGAGAGAGAGAGAGAAACCGAGAGAGAAGCAGAGAGAGAGAGAGAGAGAGAGAAACCGACAGAGAAACCGAGAGAGAGAGAAATCGAGGGAGAGACAGAAGCTGAGAGGGAGAGAAACCGAGGGAGAAAGAGAGAAACCGAGAGAGAAGCCGAAAGAGAGAGAAAAGCCGAGAGAGAAAAACCGAGGGACAGAGAGAAGCCGAGAGAGAGAAACCGAGGGAGAGACAGAAGCTGAGAGGGAGAGAACCCGAGAAAAAAGCTGAGAGAGAGAGAGAGAGAAATCGAGAGAGAGAGAGAGAAATCGAGAGAGAAGCCGAGAGAGAGCGAAAAGCCGAGAAAAAGAGAGAAAAGCCAAGAGAAAGAGAGAAACCGAGGGAGAGAGAGAAACCAGCCCTCCTACGGCCTCTCCCTTCGCCTTCGCAACCGGAAAGGGAGCCGAACGATGGAAATCCAGTCGAATCTTTACTCTTTACGCTGGCGCGTTCCCCGCGTATCGAACCCGGAAAAAATGAAATTGCCGTCGTCGGTCGATAAACGTCGGCGTGCCGGCCTCGTCGGAAGCTCGTAAAAGAAAGCGCTTCCCCGCCGCGTACTCGAAACCCGACGGCGAACCGGACGAAGCTGCTGCGTTTCGGTAAAACGATTGTGTTCGAGAGGATTCGCCGAAAATTCGTGGCCTCCCAGCGACCCTCGTCGTCGATAAGTCGCGCCTGTCCGCGGACATGGCGGTCGACCAACTATAAATTAGTGTGCATAATTACAGACTTGAAGCAACTTTTACATTGTCACCGACGACTGAACGAAATCTCGACGAAATATCGCATTTGTACATTTCTACTTTCTGTTGTTTCTAATGTACAGATATTAATATATATAATATATAATTAATACAAATATATAATATATATTGTATAATTATAATATATATAATTAGCACAAATATATAATATATAATATATAATATATAATATATAATATATAATATATAATTATAATACATAATCAATACAAATATAAATATAATATACAAATTTTGTTGAGTTCTTTTTTAATGTACAGGGTGTCTCAGCTGAAGGAGGTCATCTGCAGTACTGTACCATTATACTGAATTAGTACTAAATTAGTATTTATTAGTACCGAACAATTATGAACTCGAAGTAACTTCTACATTTTAACCAACGTTTAAACAGAAACCAAGAAAATACTATATTCGTATATTTCCATTTTTTATTACATTTAATACAGAAATATACGAATACATCGTTTTGTTAAGTTTCGGTTTAAATATCGCCGACAATGTAAAAGTTACCCCGTGTCTGCGATTATCCGCGCCGCTGATAAATAATGCATCCCGTCGATAAATAAATGTTTCATCACATCACGCCCTACTATTTGCTCTTATTATTTGCACGCATTATGCAATTACATAAAAATGTTCCGTACCATCGAAACATTTATCGCAGATATATCGCCGTTGTTCTCGCGCGTTTTCGAACGTGTCAGTCACGCATCGATATTTCAGAGCATCGAGAAAGCGTCGATTCCGTTTGATATCCGTCTTCGATGCGATTCGGTATCGGCTCGAAATCTGTCGACTGGTATCGATAGCTATCGACGCGGCCTCAGTCCGCGACAGCAGTCCAACCGTGTCCGATCGCACGAAAGCGATCACAACAGATCAGCCAAATGCTAAAAGAGGATCGTGCATTGTTTTCGGCATGGGCTCACCCAAAACAGCGTGTCGCGATAAGAAGCCGCGCGTACAAAGTGGAGTGGAACCCGGTCGCTGAACAGAGAGACAGATAGAAGCAGCTCGCTGAACGTTGCCGGCGCTCTTTCAAGAAACGGCGCAACGTTCTCCTTGCGCTCGACTTCCGCCACTGATTCCACGAGCGGGGAATATAAAGGGCTTGGAAATGTACGAAGAGCTCGCAGCAGTCGCGGGAATTACGCGAGCTGTTGTCGTTTCTATTAAGAGTCAAGCTGGCGGCGCGAGTGCAGAGAGCGCGCCGATGCCGCTCCGACGCGAGAGATTAAAAAAATCTCGGCTCTCGGATATTTCGAGGCCGCGTCCCGACGGATAACGGAACACGCCGACGGAACCGACGCGCGGCCGCGTCCCGACGGACATTCGGATTTTATGGCGCGCACGCGACCATCGAGCCTCCGAGAAACATTTTAAATCGCGGCCACGCCGTTCGTCGTAACTCGTTAAAATAAACGAACGCGTACTTCGTGAAGCGCGACGAAAAGTTTCTTCGGCCGAGCAATCTTCTGGCACAAGCCGCGTCCATTATTTTTGCCCGGGGCGCGTTCCCTGATTTCCCTTTTACGCCGGCTCCTCCTTCGCCACCGCCGTACAACACCATGCAACACCACCATCATCGTCTGTCTGCACGCCGTTCCACCATCGAGAATCCCATTTGTAGCGGCGCGGGCGCGGATCGTCCGCCGGGCCTGGCTGAACTCTATTCCCGTGCCCGCCGTATTTGCGTACGCCTGTTTGGGGCGCGCGAGGGTGCATTCGTTTACCCGAAACTCGATTTCGAAGCTCCGGTAATTGAATTTCAAGCAGCCCGACACGGCCGGCCGCTAATACGTTTAAAGAGAACGCGGACGGGAGACGCGTTCGAAGATGCTGTTCCCCGTCGTTTGCGAACGCTTCGCTGCCGGCGGATCCATATTTCATCCTGTCTTCTATCTCTTTTTCTCTTTTTCTCTTTGTCTAGCTTTCACTCTGTGTCTCTCGCGGAATTACCGACCGATCGTTGAATGTTTTCTGTCGCAGGAAAAAATGTGGAGCTCGGTTACCGCGGCTGGCACAGAGAACGGTCCGGCACCACCATCCAGAAGCAAGCACAGCGCCACTTTGCTCGCCGGGCACGTATATCTTCTCGGAGGCCGAAACGGCAATCTTCCACTCAAAGATCTTTGGCGGTACAGCCTCGGTAAGTGGTCGAATATAATAACGACGCGCATTTGAATTTAGCCGAGCTGCGACAGCGACGCGACCAACTTTGGGGCTGCGAACGAGGCGGCGAAATTCGGGGACGCGGAGGACGACTTTTTGGTACATTAAAATGTCTGGTAATAACTTATCGAGTTGTTTAACTCGATAATTTACGTCTTATTTGGTCCTTTGAAATTGGAATCAAATTCTAATCAATTGATCATCGATACTTAAGCGTTCGAGTCAATTTAGGCGGAAAGTAAGCATCGATTTTCTTTCCCTTCGAAGAAACTATTGCGATCGAAAAATTTCTAATCGCAGTAACTGCCAAAAAAAATAGTATATCAAGGGGTTGATGCTCGAACGGGGGATGTTTTTGACAAAAACGTAACCATGCTTGTTTAGGATCGCTTACAATATTATTTATCAACTCTTGTCAACATATTTGCATTTTAGACACACCTTTCAGACGCGTTTCTGTTTCCAAATGAAAGCTGGAAGTGTCTACTTTAATACAGGGTAGATTAGATTGCAATAGAACGACGAGATCGTTTTGAAAAATTAAAAGGATCAACCTCTGACATCATGGGGTTTACAAGATTTAAAAGGAGCAGTACAGATGGATATTTTGAGATGTGTTCTCGTGGGACTATTTCGATGCAACTAGGCTTAAATGAAAGCTGAAATCGTGTACTTTAAGTCAGGGTAGATTAGATTGCAATCGAACGACGAGATCGCTTTGAAAAATTAAAATGAATCGACCTCTGACATCGTGGGGTTTACAAGATTTAAAAGGAGCACTACAGATGGATTTTTTGAGATGTGTTCTCGTGGGACTATTTCGATGCAACTAGGCTTAAATGAAAGCTGAGATCGTCTACTTTAAGACAAGGTAGATTGGATTGCAATAAAATGACGAGATTGTTTTGAAAAATTAAAAGGAATCGACCACGAACCGTAATGAAACACGCGAGAATTTCAAACAATTGTCAGGAAACGATAAATTGTCAAGGTTAAATTAACGATATAATGGTTTACAAGTAGCGATATTTATACTCTGGGTCGAAATGTATCCCGCAGACTCGAGTGTTAATGCCCGATGTCCCGAGTAACCAGAGTACACGAACAACATCTCTGACCAACGCACCCCCATGGTCTCGCTCCGCGAGCCGAGGGGTGCGTCACGGAATTTAAACAGGGTTCAGTCTGATCAATAATACGCCATTATTAAAGCCTACGCGTACATCGGGCAAAGCCACCGAGGATACACCGCAATTACGGCTGTTTCCACGGAGATCCAGACGCGCGCGAATTAATTGCGGCCTCCTCGTTGAGCACGGGGTTTACTCTGAGAATCGGTTGCACAACTTTCGATCGGCCGACACAGGGTATGCAAGACGCGTGACAATGGGACAACCGTGTAAACGGTTCTCGCGGTTCTGCCGTGAACCCGATGTTGGTCCGCGCAACTGCGTCGTCGGATATTTAAGCTCGCCGGAAACTTGATTCGTTTAACCCTGTACGAATTTTCAAAGAAACTGGAATATTCGCTTACCCTAATTTTGTCATATAGTAATACAGCTGTAGTTCGCTTTCCTGTTATTTTTAATTTTTCACCCCTCAAAATTAAGGGTGGTGGGACCTATATATAGATGGCAGCACGTTTCAACGATGGGAATTATTTGAGGCTGGTGTCCATGTGCGCGCTAAAATTCGGTGGGAAGCTGAGTTCCCAGTGACTAGGAAAGGGTTGAATCGCGAGCACGTCGATCCGCGACCTGTCTCGAACGATGGGAATCGTTGGATAGTCGTTCGCGTGCTCGTTTCAGCACCGACTGGCTGCGCGAATCTCTATTAATCAGGGAGGGATTGTTCGGCGGGGAACGCGGAGAATATTAAAACAGTACGAGAAGGGTTGGCGGGCCGTCTCTTGGGGGCCAGGCGGCTCCCGGAGGGACCACCGGTATGTTTTAAAAGCATAGCATTGTGGATACTCGATCTTGCAAAAACATTGTGATATCGCGAACCCTGAGAGTACTCCATCTTTCGATGGGTTATGCGAACCTTCGAAAGCGTGGGGTACGAAGGGTCCTTTCGACGTCGCGTTCCGCGTCTAGCTCGGTTTCCGGCCGGGACGCGTAAATCGAACGCGAGCAGTTTTTCCATCAGCGAGTTGGAACACGTAGCGATCTACATTAGGTGGTGTAACAGGTCCGTTCGCGGATCTCTGACACCTAGGAAAAGACAAGGTTAAATTAAACGAATTCAGATCGATGGTACAGATGAATTTTTCGAGACACGTTCTCGCGAGGCTGTTTCTGTGAAACTTGGCTCAAATGAAAGCTGAAAGCGTCTACTTTAAGACAGGGTAGATTAGATTGCAATAGAACGACGAGATCGTTTTGAAAAATTAAAAGGAATCGACCTATGACATCGCGGGGTTACAAGATTTAAATGGAAAAGTTCAGATGAATTTTGAGATACATTCGCGTAGAGCTATTTCTGTGCGACTCAGCTTAAATGAAAGCTGAAAGTGTCTACTTTAAGACAGGGTAGATTAGATTGCAATAGAACGACGAGATCGTTTTGAAAAATTAAAAGGAAGCGACCTATGACGTCACGGGGTTACATGATATAAATGGAAAAGTTCAGATGAATTTTGAGATACGTTCTCTAAGAGCTATTTCTATGCGAATTAGCTTAAATAAAAGCTGGAAACGTCTATTTCAAGACAGGGTAGATCCGAATAGAAATTGCATAATTTTCCTGCAAGAAAACGCGGACGGACTTATTACGGAACCCAATATTTTTCGTCGGTAGCGCCGACGCTGCAACGTCGCGATTTTCCTCCGTGAACAGCACTTTTAGACAAAGGAGTGCATTGCCTCGCGGCCAACCAGATACGACACGTATACCTAATCAATGTCGGGCATCTTTAGTGGCGGCCCAGAAGGGTTGCGAGCACCTCGGCCAACGTATTACGGCTCTTACGTAAATTTCGTAGGCTTTGTTCTTGGGCACGTTCGAGTAGCCCGGGCAATGTAGAACGCGGACGATCGCCGAGGTGTTGAACGCGAGCAACTTCTCAGGATAATGCAATGCTCCGCCGCGAAACGCTTGCAAACTCGATCGGGGCGCTCGCCGATTTAATCAGCAACGAGGACTCGACTTCTTCTTTTGTTCGCGCAGTGGAACTTCACGCGCCGCTGATTTCTTTTACTTTTCTTCTCCGGGGTTAAATTAGGGGAGTGTCCCTCTTTCTCTCTCTCTCTCTCTCTCCCGTCCCCGGATCCTAAAACTTCCGAAGGGTAACCGAGACTTGCCCGACTTGTTAAGCGATTACACCGAAGGGAAGAAAAAGTGTTTCGACCCTCGGACGGAGCGCGGCCTGACACAGAGACAAGCTCATGCGCGTTCTTTGTTCTTTCTTACGCCGCGGATCTAACGACTTTGCAACATTGTTCGTTGTTTACAAGGGATGGGGGCGGGGGCGAGACAAAAAAGATCCCGAACCGCCGGAAGGCGAATAAAACTATCGTGTTCGTCGGAAAGTTGGCTGGCAGCTCGCTGCCGTTGTATTTTCTTTTCTATCGACACGCGAACACATAATACGCTCTTATCCCTCGAAGATTCTTGCGTTAACGTTCCGCTTTTTACCGTGCCCTTGGCACTGCTTAGACTTAAGCCTCGAGAGGAGTCCCACCCTTTCTGCATCCTCGACTCTTATCGCTCTCGCTTCCTCTCGTTCCAACACTATTTCTGTCCCACGTTCCTGGGAAGCCCCATCCAACCGGAGGATTTATTTCGCGGTAGCAGATTGCCGGGGCGGGTGGCAGCGTGATTTAGCGTACCGAGGAATGGTTTTTTTTTATCTCGGCACCCATGAGATCGGAACCGCTTCCCTTCAACTAGATCATCCGTTTCCGCGAGGTTCTCCTTTCGGGGAGACCCCGAGAGAGAGAGAGAGAGAGAGAGAGAGAGAGAGAGAGAGAGAGAGAAAGCGGAGGTGCCGAAATTATGCGGGCACGCGGGAACCCACAATGCGAGCCTCTTTGTTTCTTTATACGGGAGTCTCGTTTTCAACTACGCGGAGTCCCGTCGACCCCTCGCGTAAACGCACAAAAGCGAGGCCCGCGCAAATCGTGTTTATTCACCGCCGCGCAAACAGAAAGAGAGAGAGAGAGAGAGAGGCTGGCATCGCGAAACCGTTTTGACTAACGAGCCAACGCACGCTGCTCTACCCTATTCTGTATTTTTTTCTTTCCAGCCGAGAGCAAATGGGAAGAATTGCATCCTGCGGGAGAAAGGCCGCCAGCGCTTCAGGAGCACAGCGCGGTCGCGTACAAGGATTGCCTCTACGTTTTCGGGGGTGAACTCGGCTTTTGGGCTGGCACGGAAACGCCGCTGTGGGTCTACAATGTCAAGGTATCGTTTCTCTATCCGTCGAACACGTCTAGCCGATGAACGTCGGCCCCGAGGGCCGCGGGCGGTTTGCTTAGCCCCTTGCGAGCGTCGCGGTTCGAGGCACCCGACACTCCCCAATTTGGTAAACGAGACGATTCCGGGAGTCCAATCAACGGTGATCGACGATACCTCGGCTCGCCGCGTCTCGTTTAAATTCATAACTCGTCCGACGAACGATCCCGTAATTGCCGTCTGGCCAAATCACGCGTGGCTGCTTCCCTTTCGCCAGAGCGTCCATTTTTGTTTGCAAGCCGAGGGACAATTCGCGATAGAATTTATCGTACCTGGATCCAGGGACAGCCTTGCACTATGTCAAGGTTATGTACTTCGTTTGGTAGAGTAATTTCTATTAGAAATGTTCGGGGGTTGGAATTGAGAACGGCAGATCTGAGAATATTAGGTCGCGATTCTTCGGGGGGCGCGGCTCGTTTTTCGTAGAAACTCGGGGCAGTCGGCGAGAAAAGGCAGTGGCCACATGCCGGTGTACATTAGTATGAATACATAGTGATGCTAGAGTAAAAACGATGATTTAATTTCTATTATTTCTAATTTTTTTGCCACGAAGGCAATTTGGAGGCCACTTGACACGATTCAAAGGCAACTCGAAGGCCACGTGCCACGATTCGAGATGGTCACGTACCTAGTAACTTGTAATAAATTGTAACGAATAAATGAACAGATTTTAACAGACCTTAGCATCGACGTAACAATGACTTACCTAGACGTAGGAACAACCGCAAGGAAATTCACAGCCACCCGAAGTTCGGCAATTCCGGGAGAAATTACTGTAGTCGTCCAATCGAGACGCGTCGTTCCCCCCTCCCCAAGGACTCTTTGCCACTTCACTGACTACGTACTACGGCGGCGGAACAATCACAACTGCGGTCGTCCCTCGTTGCGTGTCATCGGATGGCAAACACGATTCCCCCCCGCCTATCCCATCTCCGCTAGTTTCGAAGGATCGGAGGAGGATCCGGAGAAGGAGCGGACGTCCTCGTGTAAAACTGCTTGTACCTGATGACGGTCCTATTGATTTAGCGGTTTCCCGAGGGTGCGATTTTTTCTCGCTTCTCTCTTCTTATTGTATATCGGCGACCCTTGCACGCGCGCTCCCCTCTAGCACGGGTAAGATCATTAGGAGTTTCCTTTGCGAGCTTGCGACACCGAGTTACGCGATCGTTATCGGAACACAGGGCCGACGGAGGGTGACGCGAAACAGATTCGAGCGCTCCTCGAGGAAATATTGTTCGTTGAATTATAGAAACCGAAGAGTGAGAGGGCGGGAGGGAGAGGCCAGGGTGGTTCGCTCGATCGCGGAGTCGCGTGCGATCGATTATTATCGATCGTAAACAGCCGATTGGTCGTATCATTGGCCACGACGTGGTTCGACGTGGCGTTCGAAAGCGGGACGCGAGCGGAGAAGGACACTTCCAGGGAACGTTTGATACGCGTGTACGTCGCGAGGGGGAAGGAATCGTCGGCAACAGCCGGTGTCAACAGCTCCTTCTTGCGTTTCGTACCCTCGAAAGTGAATGGCGCTTATCCTCCCAAGGGCTGCCTGCTCTCAACCTGCGCATCGTTAAAAATTCATCAACTTGGAGTAAACAGGATACGCGGTGGATAGCGATGCCGCATCGGCGATTCCCTGTTCGACGTCAACGCGCTGGATACGCGCGCGCGCGCGTTACATGTGCGCGTACACGTTTCATACGGCAAGGGAAAAAAAGAAATCCTCCAAAGGGTGGAACCCGATCATCTTAACGAAGGGGATAAATATCGAATGGTCTGCTACTTTCCGGAGGATTTTTTGGTCCACTCGCGTTTACTTATTGGACCGTCTCCGAGCCGAGGGTGGTTTCGTCCCCTTTACGCGTCTCGCCGCCGTGTATTATTGAAATCCGCGTTACGAATGCACCGGCAAACCCGATTGGTAGAACCCCGGAGGGGTCGGCCGCGTCTCGCGCGTTCGTTCTCTACCCTATCTTATCTCCCCCCTCCCCCCTTCCGTGTTCCATTAAACTCCTCTCCCGTTTGCAACAAATCGGATACAGAAGAAATATCTCGCTCGGCTGAATATTTCATGTTCGCGCGCCCATCCTCCCCCGCTGTCCTCGCTCTTCTTCCCTCGTGCCGGCGAAGATCAGCCGACCGCGGCCTCGAGTTTCTTTGAGCCTCGAAATGAGTTCGCCGCGTCGCCGGTGATAACTGTTTTCTCGCTAATTTTACAGCGTTTTAACGTCGATGGCGAATTTACCGACTGCTCCACCCTTGCGCGACCCCCTCGTGCCGTGACGCGGGGTAAACGCAAGTGGCTGTACAGACCTATCAACTTTAGGCACGTGCTTCAAGTTACGTAATTACTTTCAGCACCCCTCTGCGCGGCCTGTACACCTTACTTCCTTCCTTCCTTCCATCTTCTCTCCTTCGCGCGTTTCCTCCCCTTCCGCTTTTTCTACTTCTTCTTCTCGTTGGTCGTACGCACGCCGACCATTGCGAGAGTGGAAGGATCTCGATGGTCAAAACTCGTCTCAGAAACAACGGATCGTTCGTCGTGCACCCTTTCGGAGCCGATCGCGGCGAACTTCCGCGGAATTGATCTACCCCTCGCCCATCGATTGCGTCGATAAAATTAAATACGGCGCATACATACGAGCGCCCCTTTGTTCTTAAAGCATCTCACGCGTCACTTGTGCCCTAGATTTTTCACGAGAGCAGAGTTTTTCACAAAACAGATAGAAATAGATCGGTTTGTTAACGGAGAAGCTCGCTCGCACCGAACATTCTGCGATCGTACGAAGCACCGCCGCGGCTCGCCGGCGTCCTATCGCTGGAAAAACCGGCAACCGGTATTGTTCAGCCGGCGGGCTCCCGTATTAAACTCGAGTCTATTCAACGAGCAAAAGAAGGGCGTGACAAATTGAAGCTCTCCTGTACCTTTTGTTACGCGCAACCCCGGTGATATTCGGCATTCAGCAGACTCTCCCGTCCAGACGAAATTACTGATTTTCTTGGCCCATTGTCGCCGGCGCCGCGCGTAACTGATAAAACGAACAAAGAACGCCCTGTTGTTCGAGCCGTGAAAAGCACCGTGCAGAAATGTAACCGTGATCCTTGCCCATCTAGACGAACATGTGGAGGAAGGTGAGGGCGCAGAGAGGATGCACCGTTCCTAGAGGCCGGAGAGGCCACACGGCTCTGGTCCATCGCGGCCAAATGCTCATCTACGGCGGCTACCAGGATCTCCGCGGAAGCTCCCCGGAACTCTGGGCGTTCCATTTCGGTAAGACAAGGAGCACGCGAACGGGTATGCGAACGAGTATGCGTGTAACTATGCGTAGGCGATGATCATTCGTGCGGCGGTTACGATCCGACGGTTTGTTCGTTAGAAACGGAATCTTGGCATCTTCTCTCGTCCGGCGAAAGTGGGCCAGCGGCGAGGCACAAGCATTCCGCTGTTCTACACGGCGACGCCATGTACGTTTACGGAGGTATGACCGATCTTCAAGAGAGGAGCGACTGCTGGAGATGGGACGTGAACACCGCCTCCTGGTGCCTGTTGAAGAACAAACCCGGTCCAGGGCCCCTACACGGCCACGCGGCCTGCAGGCTGCCCAGCTGCATGCTGATATTCGGCGGAGAAAGCGGCGGTCTGGCTACGAACGAGCTCTGGAGGTTTCATTTCGGTAGGCGGTAATTAGATTTTAATCGGAAAATTGTATTCGAATGATCAGACGAATACAATTTTATTCGAATGATTGGTCAAGCAAAATTGTATTCGAATGATCAGACGAATAGAATATTATTTGAATGATCAATCGAGTAAAATCGTATTCGAATGATCAGACGAATACAATTTCATTCGAACAATCAGTCGAATACAATTGTATCCAAAAGATTAGTGAAATAAAATTCTATTCGAATGATTTAGTCGAACACAACTTAATTCGAAGAACTAGCCGAGTAAACCTGCCCCCGAAAAATGAATTCGCAACACCGAATGTTCTTGGAACAATGCCCGGCTCTGATCGTAGGCACAGAAACGTGGGAGAAGCTGTCGGTGCCGGGTCCGAAACCTCAGCCGAGGGCGGAGAGCGTGGCCCTGGCGGTGTCGGAGCTGCTGATACGAGGGACCAACATCGACAATCCGAAGCTGAAGCTGCGTAACCAGAGGACGAGGCTCTACAACAACAGGATATCGCCGAACGAGGCGCCGACAAGGCCGAGCTTCCTCAAGGAGATCTCGAAGCTGTCGCAGATCAATCTGTCGCGGCTGAGCCACCCGACGAAGTGCAGCTACTCGGTGCTGAGCGGCCAGGACGACAACGAGGAGAGCCCGCAGGAGGTACGCCCGATACCGAAACAGATCAGCGTGAAAACCGCATTTGACAATTTGAGCCTGCCCGCAGGCGAACTCCTATTATCCGTTTCAGCAAGTGGACGCCGAGGTGATCGAACCGTCCACGGGTATGGTGAAGTCCCGAAGCGCGAACGCGCTGGCGCGTCGAAGGCAGAAGCCGTCCGAGTCGTCGTCGAAGTCCACCGACAGCAACACCTGCGGGAACGTCGGCGGCTCCGGGATGACCAGGGATCCGACCTCGGTGCCGAATTTCCGGGCGCTGACACTGCCGACCCCGGTCTTGACGCCCGTGGAAGCGGCCCGGCTCGTTTTCGTCGATCCGGACGAGAACAGCGACAACGATGAAGAGGTGGAGGACGAGGAGGAAGAGCGCAAGGAGCCGCCGACCTCGAGGCTGATAGAGGTCCAAGAGGAGAGACGGTAAGCCTCGGCAGGAGGCACGCGGCCCGCACACGCGTTCGCGAGCTACACGCTCGATCGATCCCTCGGCAATTAGCAGTCGATCCTTTTACGATTTCAGAGACTTCGCGGCGATGCACCAGGCCTGCCAGCCGACCCGCGGCGAGAGCTACAGCTCGCACCTGTACGAGGCTGCTCTGCAGACACCTAAAACGCCGACCACCTCGAAGATACCTACGTCGGCGTCCGTGCGGTTCGCCGACCTTGAGGAAGGGGAGGAATCGACCTCGGACTACGCGAGTATAGAGGCCAGGAGCCCCGGCGACCCTCTCGGCGACGACGATTGGCCGTCGGGCAGGAAGTGCAAGCAATACCGTCCCATCGTCACCCCGTCGACGATACGCGAAGGCCAGTTCGGCTTCTGCAATCCGAACTATCTCGGGCTGAACGAGAACAGAGGCCATCATCAACAGCAACCGCACCAGCAGCAACAGCAGCAGCAGCAGCAGCAGCATCAATCTCAACAGCAACAACAGCAACAGCAACAGCAACAGCAGTCGCAAGACGGCAAATACGCGAAAATGTTGAACAGCCCGCCGGACAGTGTTTTAGAGGACGAGGCCGGTCGGTCCTCCTCGCAGACGTTCGCGGAATTATTAGAGCTTCAAGAACTGAAGAGGGTGCCGAGGGCGCCCCCGAAAAGTTTGCCGTTAGGCTCTCCTTCTAGAAGAGCGGTTAGCGCGTCGAGGGCGGAAAGGCAACGGGCAAAGGTTGCCGCTGCGGACATTAACGACTCGGAAACACCTTCGTACGGACCAGCGCCTCTTTACGTATTTTTAGTCGGGGGGAAGGAGAAAGGTCAGGTGACGGTGTTTGCACGACCCGTTTCCTTGTGGAAATTGCAGTTAGCGCCGCACATCTTCTAAGACCGCGAAACCGTGTTCCGTCGTCGTTTCTCTGTCCCCTTTCTTTGTTCCTCGCCGCGGTCGAATGACAAAGAGACTCGTTCCTTGTCTAATAATCGTCGACAAGTGCAGTTTTCTAAGCGCTGACCATTGTTCCGTTGTTCCTACGTTTTTCTAGTCGTATATTTCTTGTTTGTCTCTTTGTTCGTTCGTGAATCGTTCCCGGTACGGTGAATGCCCCTTAATTGGTGCTCGGGTGGTGCATAATTTGGGAATTTGCAATTTGGAAAAGGCGGACGCGATTATTCGAGCCTCGCGCGGCTCGTTTTTGTAGCCGTTGACAAGCTGTGTCTATAAAAACGAGCCTTCAAGGCTCGAACCTCTGCCCGAATTGTACACTTTTGCGCACAATCCGAGCGTCGATTAGGGAGAATTTACCATCGATGTGTTTTCTTTGAAGCGTTGTCGCAGCATCCGTCGACCTCCGACCTCGACTATTCGCCGTTACTTCTCCGTTTCCATTTCGTTCGACCACGCAATGGCGGCGCCTCGTTAGCATATCGTCGATCAAGTCTATACATATAATCGTTTGACAACAGGAAGAAACAAATAACATACCAGAGTGCATGATCAACTTATACGTGTATCGAACATTTACGGGAATCCGGATTTCGAAGTTGATTTTCAGTTCCTCGTCTCGACGTCTCTACTTTGTTGTCTAAGCATCAATTAATGTAACCGTGAATACGTGAAACCGAATTGTACGTTCAGATCGTGTAGGATAGGTTTACGAACGAATATGCACGCCGGATCGAGGGTTCATATTGAACCGATTACTTTAAGCGCAAATCAAACGAGCGAGAAGGTGTTCTGTCAGTGTGTCGCGGATCGGTACCCATCCCACCATTCGTATAGATAAATCCTAGAAAAAATTATCGTAGATCGAAGATAATTAGTTGAAACGAGCATAGCGCGATAGTCTCTACGTGTATAGCGAACGATGGGATTTTTCATGTTTGTAATAGATGTGAAATACATTCGATATCTCGAAAAATCATTTAGAAGACCCCCCACCTGTCGCGGGAGGATCATAGGCGCGCCATATTTTTTCGAACTGACGCGTACCAATTGTTAAAAAGGTCTCGATTGATTTGCGCTTTGCCGTCGTCGACTGCGAACTCGATACGAGTTGCGTACGAAGTAGAATAATATATCGGAAGGCTTGGGAGAACCGAAGTTATTGGAAGATCCTAAATACCGAGATCGATGTGTGATTGTGTCGAATGTACGTGTAATCGATGTACGGTTCCAATGATTCTGCGGAAATTAGATTTTTTATAAAACGACAACCCTTCGTGGAATTTCAATGGGAATCGCGCGATACGTTTTAGGATTCTACGCAGAGAGCAGAGTTTACGGGGGATTAAATTCACCCTAATTGACGCCTAGAAGATTCACGCTTAAAAACAGACAATTTGGGAAGAGGAGATACGATTAATCGAGCCTTGCGGCTCGTTTTTACAACTGCCGATTGTCATCGATCATAAAAGCGAGCCGCGAAGCTCGAATAATCGTATCTCCTCTACCCCAAATTGTCCATTTTCATGCACAATCTGTGCGTCAATTAGGGAGAACTTATGCCCGAACAAGTTTCAGTTTCGTCGCGGGCGAAGACACGCGTCTGCTACGCGAACCATACAATCGTTGTCGTGTTCGAAACTATGGTAGTTTAAAATTGGTCGAATTTTTACGTCCGTGTTAACAAAATTATAAACCAACGAAGCCCCCTGTTGTCTATAGAGTCCGTAGAGTCCGGGACGAGTCGCGCCAACACAGGAGATCGATAAAGCACGACGGGGGTGTTTCTTGTTCGTGTAGAATTTTTATGCCCACGAAGGCCCAATACATGTAATCCATCCACAAGTAGCAATCGTGAATGCGACGTTTCCTGGGCTGAACATTACGAAATGCTTTTGGAATCGTGCCACATTATTTCGCCGCATTGTTTCAACGGTGCACGCGAACTTGCCCGTACAAGCCCGGGTTACATGCGCTTGGTAAAAAGTGGCGAGATCGCGAAAATACGTGTACTCGTGACACGGGCACGTGCGATCATTCACGGAATCAGCACAGACGTTCCTCGTTATCTCGAGTACCGGGGCGCCCTGCCCTCGTCGGCCGCGAAGATTTCGTAACGTTCGGCCAAGCACCGCAGACATTCGAAAAAAATCAATGTTTTCCATTCGTAGCGGTAGACAGTTTAACATCTCCGTGTACCAAAGTTAAGATGAATGTTCCGTAACGTTCGATCTTTCTCTAGGACCCCTAGCTTTCTATTCGTTCATTTCTCAGACGCATCAGCATGCAACACAGATCGCGCGAAACTCCTGTTTACGTTGCACTCGCAACCGCTCCTACGAACTTGCCCGTACCCACCCCCTGTTACTTAGATAGTTCTCGGTTAGTTGCGTTACAAGAAACTGTATTACTGTATACACGTGTAATAGAATCGGTGTGCCGGTGTTTCAGTTCGATGTGTTGTGAGTTTTGTTGCCGATCCCCGGCGTTCGGCCGGGTCTATCGAACGTTTACTGGGCCCGTGTACGCCTCCTCGTTTGTCGAGCGGACGAATCGTTTGGCGGATTAGAATCGTAATGAAAGTAAAGCGAGACAACGTGTACCACCGGAAGTATACGTACAAAACGCCACGACAATGTGTCTCGATTATTTTCCATTCCGCAGGACACGCAAGAACGCGANATAGCGAACGATGGGATTTTTCATGTTTGTAATAGATGTGAAATACATTCGATATCTCGAAAAATCATTTAGAAGACCCCCCACCTGTCGCGGGAGGATCATAGGCGCGCCATATTTTTTCGAACTGACGCGTACCAATTGTTAAAAAGGTCTCGATTGATTTGCGCTTTGCCGTCGTCGACTGCGAACTCGATACGAGTTGCGTACGAAGTAGAATAATATATCGGAAGGCTTGGGAGAACCGAAGTTATTGGAAGATCCTAAATACCGAGATCGATGTGTGATTGTGTCGAATGTACGTGTAATCGATGTACGGTTCCAATGATTCTGCGGAAATTAGATTTTTTATAAAACGACAACCCTTCGTGGAATTTCAATGGGAATCGCGCGATACGTTTTAGGATTCTACGCAGAGAGCAGAGTTTACGGGGGATTAAATTCACCCTAATTGACGCCTAGAAGATTCACGCTTAAAAACAGACAATTTGGGAAGAGGAGATACGATTAATCGAGCCTTGCGGCTCGTTTTTACAACTGCCGATTGTCATCGATCATAAAAGCGAGCCGCGAAGCTCGAATAATCGTATCTCCTCTACCCCAAATTGTCCATTTTCATGCACAATCTGTGCGTCAATTAGGGAGAACTTATGCCCGAACAAGTTTCAGTTTCGTCGCGGGCGAAGACACGCGTCTGCTACGCGAACCATACAATCGTTGTCGTGTTCGAAACTATGGTAGTTTAAAATTGGTCGAATTTTTACGTCCGTGTTAACAAAATTATAAACCAACGAAGCCCCCTGTTGTCTATAGAGTCCGTAGAGTCCGGGACGAGTCGCGCCAACACAGGAGATCGATAAAGCACGACGGGGGTGTTTCTTGTTCGTGTAGAATTTTTATGCCCACGAAGGCCCAATACATGTAATCCATCCACAAGTAGCAATCGTGAATGCGACGTTTCCTGGGCTGAACATTACGAAATGCTTTTGGAATCGTGCCACATTATTTCGCCGCATTGTTTCAACGGTGCACGCGAACTTGCCCGTACAAGCCCGGGTTACATGCGCTTGGTAAAAAGTGGCGAGATCGCGAAAATACGTGTACTCGTGACACGGGCACGTGCGATCATTCACGGAATCAGCACAGACGTTCCTCGTTATCTCGAGTACCGGGGCGCCCTGCCCTCGTCGGCCGCGAAGATTTCGTAACGTTCGGCCAAGCACCGCAGACATTCGAAAAAAATCAATGTTTTCCATTCGTAGCGGTAGACAGTTTAACATCTCCGTGTACCAAAGTTAAGATGAATGTTCCGTAACGTTCGATCTTTCTCTAGGACCCCTAGCTTTCTATTCGTTCATTTCTCAGACGCATCAGCATGCAACACAGATCGCGCGAAACTCCTGTTTACGTTGCACTCGCAACCGCTCCTACGAACTTGCCCGTACCCACCCCCTGTTACTTAGATAGTTCTCGGTTAGTTGCGTTACAAGAAACTGTATTACTGTATACACGTGTAATAGAATCGGTGTGCCGGTGTTTCAGTTCGATGTGTTGTGAGTTTTGTTGCCGATCCCCGGCGTTCGGCCGGGTCTATCGAACGTTTACTGGGCCCGTGTACGCCTCCTCGTTTGTCGAGCGGACGAATCGTTTGGCGGATTAGAATCGTAATGAAAGTAAAGCGAGACAACGTGTACCACCGGAAGTATACGTACAAAACGCCACGACAATGTGTCTCGATTATTTTCCATTCCGCAGGACACGCAAGAACGCGATCCGATAGTCAATTATCACCGATAATGTCATTGAAATGCGTCCGTTGCCAAACACATCTCGTTAGGGTGCATGGTACTTAATGCTTCGTAAACGAGGCTCAAAGTATAAGCTCGAAGACATGGGCTGGATATCAAAAGGAAAGACAAAAAGAAGAAAAGAAAAAACGAGAGTGAGAGAGAGTGAGAGAGAGAGGGAGAGAGAGAGACAACTACCGGTGTAGCTGATTCGAGTGCCTGTACTTTTTGCAAATATATGCATTCCATATTTTTCTGGTCCCATGCGACTCTTTTCGGAAAAGGAAAAAAATCATTCGCCACGGTATCTTCTAGCTTATGCTTCCCTCCAACGACGGCCGCGTGTCGCACGAGCGACACGTTGCCGCCCGCGATATGCGTTAAGATGCGGTATTATATGGAATACAATGTCGACAAAAACAAAGGAAAACAGGAAAAAAAAACAGAAAAAAAACAGAAAAAGAAAATAAACCGCGTCTCATTCCAGTAGATTTTCATATCACAAAATGCAGTATTTTTTCAACGAATAAGCCTTCGGATAGAGGACCCACGCTAATTTTTCTATGTTAAGTATTAGACGATGTATCGATATATTATATGTACGTGTACACGTATATCTTCACACGATCGATAAGTTTTCCTAAATGAATATTATACGATTTCAATATAAACGGTGGAAATTTTAATCTTGACTCGCTGTACTTTAATTTCGTGCTACAAATAGATAAGGATCGAATTGTTCGCAGATTCGAACGATGTCCGAGGCACAAAATCTCAAAATTCACGGTGGGGGAGGATAGAAATTCGTATCCGGCGGTTACAATCTCGAGCTCGGAACACGAGTTCCTTTCGTGGGGATTTAATTCTAGGGGATATTTTCGGAACGCCAGGACAAACCGTATGGTTGGCAAGCCGCAGAAACAAGAGCGTCTCCCTACTCCCTGCACACCACCGTGAAACGTGGCCTCGTCGTGCGTTTCTTCCCGCCAAAACATCGGTCGAACGCGACGATACATGACAGTCGGCGGGTACGATCCTTTCGAGACAGTTCTGCGATCTACTCGTCCGATGCACCGAAGAACGTTCAAATAGTATCCGTCTGTACGATAACACAGCCCGACCGGCAGATATCATTCTTAGTAAACATGGATCAAGATAATTGTTCGGTGACGTGCTCGGTGACAATAGAGCGGACCAACTCGCAGGGTTCTTTGCTGAAGAAAGTGAATCATCGATCGGCGACTCTACGCTTGATCCGAAACAATTTTCGCGAGATGCTGATCGACGTGCAAGCGGAAAAGGGAAACACGACGGCGAGGCTGCCGCTGAAATCCATCTCTGTTTTTAATAAATTTATGACCGAAGGGAAAGCTTCGATCAAATTCAAAGAGGACAACTGCACCATGTTTTTATCGAACGCGCCGACCGCGCAGTTGATCACGTTTCTGAAAACGATCTACGTGAAGATCACGAACCAGTCGGAAAAAGAAACGGTGAAAAATCCGTTGAAGGAGAGATTGCTTTCTAACAAACCGTGCGGAGGCGTTCAGGACGTCAGCCCTGCGACGTCCGCCGAGGTGAACAGGGCCAAAGAGAAGGCCATCGGCGTGTCGCGAGCGACGATCACCACCCCGTCGCCCAGCAACGTGAGGAAGAGGAGACGCACCGATGAAAATGCCCCGAAACTCGCCCAGGCGAAAAAGCTCTACGAGAATCCAACGACCGGCACGATCACGGAAGAACAGAGCAGAATTTTGGACGCGGTGCTCGCTGGTAAAAATATATTTTTCACCGGCAGCGCGGGAACCGGAAAGTCGTTTCTCTTGAAGAAAATTATAGCGACCCTGCCACCAGACGTTACGATGGCCACGGCGAGTACCGGAGTCGCTGCTTGCCACATCGGTGGAATTACTTTGCATCAATTCGCCGGGATTGGTCTGGGCACCGCGAATTTGGACAGATGTTACCAGATGGCTGCCAAAAATTGCGTTGGTTCATGGAGGAAAACCAAGCATTTAATCATCGACGAGATCTCTATGGTGCACGCGGATTATTTTGATAAGATAGAGGCTGTTGCTAGGTTCATTCGAAGAAACGAACGGCCATTCGGCGGAATGCAATTAATTTTGTGCGGGGACTTCTTCCAGTTGCCGCCCATCGGCCCGAGGGAGAAGCAAGTCAAGTTTTGCTTTCAAAGTAGCGCGTGGGAAAGATGTGTGCACTTCAATTACGAATTGAAAACCGTCCATAGACAAAGCGAACCCGAGTTTGTCAATATTTTGAATAGCATAAGAATAGGTAGAGTGACGGACAGCATGGCAGAAACCCTTAAAGCGACAGCTAAACAAAAGATAGAGGCCAACGGAATTTTGGCAACCAGACTATGTTCTCATGTGAAGGAAGCGGAAGAAATTAACGAATTCCAATTAAACAGGCTGAAAGGTGAGTCTAAAACGTACGTGGCTCAGGACAGTGATCCCTCCATGACGCAGACATTAGATAAACAGTTGACTGTTCCTGGAAAGCTTGTATTGAAAGTAGGGGCTCAAGTAATGCTTTTGAAAAATATCAATGTATCGGGTGGCCTGGTAAATGGAGCAAGAGGCGTGGTCGTTAATTTTCAGAATGGTGCACCGGTAGTTCAGTTTAAATCCGGTAGTCCGTATCACGTGAAACTACAGATATGGAATTTAAAAACTACATCGGGTTCCATTGTTCATAGAAAACAAATTCCGCTGAACTTAGCATGGGCCTTTTCCATTCACAAAAGTCAAGGATTAACTTTGGACTGCGTCGAAATGTGTCTGACAAGAGTTTTTGATGCTGGGCAATCCTATGTAGCATTGTCTAGGGCACAAAGTTTACAATCCCTGAGGATCTTAGAATTTAATAGCCAACAAGTATGGGCCGATTCGGACGTGCTCGTGTTCTACAAAAGATTCCGACGAAATTTGCAAGAAATGGAAATGATTCCTTTAGGAAAAAAACAGAAGATCTGGTAGCATTAAGTTCGTAACCTCGAGCGTTGTATTGTGGAAAGTATTATTTTTTGTCGACGTATAGAATTAAATTACAGAAACTAGACTTTATAAGATGATCTCAGTGTAAATTTTTTTAGCAAGCGATTCGCGTAGCGACGACTAAATACAAATTTCTTATTGTAAATGACCCTTTAAAAAATTAAAAATATTCTTCAGTTTCATCGTTATCAATTACTGTAACATATTCTACACGGTTAATTATAACAAGGCATAGGTACATTTATTTGTTGCTTTTTTTTACAAATATTACAAATTCGCGGATTCGTTTGCCATGCACACGCTAACAATCGTCGACAGTTATTTCTATCGACGGTATGTAACGCCACGTGTGACCAGCATTAATTAATTCTGAGCAAAGCACCGGCGTGTTCGATGCCGATTCTGTGCTGCTGCATTGAATATCTATTTTGTACTGACCTGCCGTGAAGAACACTACGCGACATTCGTGATAGATCCTTCCGTATTCCTGCAACTGAACGATAATATTTTCATACAGAACGAACATTGATTCTCGATGTTTCTTCGAGAGAAAAATAACTCACGACTGGTAGCATAACTTTATTCGCGCCAGCGATGGATAACCTCGTTTCCAGTTGATAATTGTTCACCCCGTTGTGATGGTCTTGGTAAAAGTTTATAGACAGTATAAGATCGCTCAAGGGATGTTCCAATGCATTGCATATCCCTACGCCGACGTTCACGCATTCGCCTAAATTGCACGTGAGCTCGTCCTGCGCCTTCACGATCGCATCGTTTATTTTGATTTCTGAAAGTGATGTGCAACCGCACCCGTTAATCCAATCACTGGCGAGAATTATACACACTGATTAAATCTATAATTATTTGATGATGTACCCCACTGCAAAGGACTCATTCGAACGAGATCCAGCATGTCTTGCGTAAGCGTGATTCCAGAAAGGGACGCTTTCCCGACAGCGTCGGTACCCAATAATTGCCACTGTAGATCAACCAACGAGGCGATATGTTCGGAACAGACTTTCTGTAGTTCTACAATGTCGCCGGCCCCGTTTAACTGCGATCCAAACGAAAAGCGAACTGTATACTACGTAAGCGTTGTATGCAGAAACAACCGGTGCCAGGAAATTCTTTATTACCATGGACAATTTGTTGAGCGGACAGCGATCGACCGGTACTGGAATTCGACACGGCTCCTTGCCTTCCATGTATATACATTTCGTTTGCGTATAGTGCAATTCCATTTCATGATTGGTCATGTTCGTCAAGTCTAGTACAAGATAAAATTGCGACGGCCTGAAAACACGTATTGAAAACTTTTAGCGCCACGCGTTGAAACGTCGTTTCAACGTTGCGACCACTCACGTTTCCGCTGGAAGCACATCCCAGTTTGTGATCTGCACGCTGGGCAACATTTCTATAGTTACAAAAACGGACGAGGTGCGACAATAACCGGCCTGTAGGCCGGCCCCGCCGGAATATTTGATCTTCAACTGGCCCTCGACAACGTTCGACGCGTGCAACGGCACGGCCAACTTCGATAAACGCGAGCTTGGCAAAGACGAATGACCAGATTGAGAACTGAAGCCCGATCTGAACGAAGAAGTCAACTCGGACTGTCTTTTCGTATGCGACGGCGAACTTAATCTGGATGGTAAAGAGCTGTGACCGGATTGAGACATTAAACTGCTTGGTTGACTGAGATATGTACTGCTGGTAATATCTAAAGGAAATATATACGTATGATTAAAATACGTGCACGATTATGAGAGCGCCAACCGTCGGTTATACTATTTACCATTGCGAGACGTAGGTGCTATAAAGTCAGTAGCGGCGTGCAAGTACAAGGTCAGACTCGCGCTAACCCCAGGCTGAAGAGGTAATTGCTTCCTCAAGCTTTCGTCGTTCCATTTGAAGATTTTGCTTTCCGTGATAGTGTCCAGCGTGGATTGCACCGACAACTCGATAGTATCGATAGGAACCTGTCCGCTATTTGTAATGGTTACGGTGCATTCGGCGCTGCAGCGAAAATACAGAAATGTACCACTGCTCCTTCGTACCAAGTATTGCTCCAACGCATTCTAAATACTATTATGTATACCTTTCGCCACCGTACAACGATGTGCTCGCGCTAGTAACAATGTTGTCGCCGGTGCTGAAACTCGCCGTTTGAGGTAAACTCGTAGCTACCTCTATTCTTGGTAGAGCTGGGACAACCTCAACGGTGTACTGAGGATGCGGCATCCCCTCCATATATCGTAATCTGCAGTTCGATTTCACCCCTAACGTATGAGTACTGAAACCGAGGATCTCCAGGTCACCGACCTCTTTAGGCCTGCCTGCTAACGTTACCGCAATCGGTCCTGACTCGGCAGGAAGCGTAATACTTTCCGGAATTGACTCGAACACGACCCCGTTCGTGAGAAGTCTCATATTGGAGACGTGCAACTCGAAAGGAAGCGGATTGATCAGCTGCATCGATACTTCGCAAATGTCACCCTCCACCCACAGATAATCTGTAATCGTTCGACTGAAGTTATGCATCTCGCGTTTATTGAACTATGTACGATCAAAACTAGAACGCACCGACTTTACTCTTCGACGTGTTCTTCCTCTCTAAGGAACCAAAATTAATCGGCGTGAATAAAAACGGACCATGATCTTCCTTGATCCTTTCGATCTTTTGAGGCTGAAGATGCGGTTGCATATTCTTTAAAACGAACGACTTCGTTTTCGGAATGTTCGTTAAATTGGCAGGTGGTATGACCGTTCCGCTATCTAAAACCTATCAGAAGACCTTAACTCTTCTCTACTTTCATCCTACCACGAAGTTTCCTAAATTCCTTACTTACGAGAGGCACGGGAGCACCTTCGCATTGCTGAGAGACATTCTGAAGCTGCAAAGCGGTCTCTCTACGTTCGCTCGGGGTCAAATAGTTGTACATGGTTTGGAGTAGAAAGGTCACGTGTCTCGTTGCCAGTGCTGGATTCCCCATACGATTAGCAGCAGCAACGAGATCGTTTATCATTTTAATTTGGATAAACGGCCAACCCTTATGGGTATCTACAGGAACAAAGTTTCTCTAAAAATTGATTCGTTTGTTCCGGAATTAGGAAAAAGAATTAATTACCGGGAGACATGTCAACGGGATCTAAAGACAGTTTAAATCCGGATGTGGCTTGCAGCATTAAATTATAACACTGTTGCCAATCAGGATTCGGATTATTTTGAGATACGTGGCGCGTTGCAGCCAATCTTAAACAAAACGATGCTTTTCTTACGAAACCAAAGCTCATGTATAAATCCGATAACGTAGTAAATCGATCGATCTGTAATATCGGAACCATTTAATTGTATTCCATCTAACGATTGCGTCGGTTCGTTTGCTTGTGCTACATACTTTTTCCTGTTCGCTTAACTGTAAATTTATAAGTACAACGTTGCTTAAATACGAGGCAGCCTGCAAAGTACAGTTTTGCTCTATCGAGATTCGCGTGGCTTTAAAACTGGCTTCCGTTTCGATTATACCAGCGTATTGATATTTGCTATAGTGAACTATTGCTTCACGGTACTTTTTCGACATCTCCTCGGGTAACAAAATATGCGGCATATTAGTTTTCACCACCTCTATAGCGGGCGGCAATGGTAATGTAGTAACAGCCTGTGAACCCCTTCTATATAAAATGATCCATTAACAATCCTTCAAAGAGAATTACACGTTTGCCATTCGTGGATGCAGCTTGAATATACCTATACATACCTTTGCTTACCTGGACTTCCTTCCTGAAGGGAAGAGTTTCTTTGTAATGGAAGACTTCTGCACATATTTGGATACAATACCAGAGCAGATGCTGCACACAAGCCTTCGAACGCCGCTCCTAGCCATAGCCAATCGTTGACCGCTTGCAGTGTGCTGGCTGCATTATTATAATTGCTCAGAGCATCCGCAGGAAGTCCAGCTTGTAAACATAAGTCGCCTAGATGCTTGGTCATACGGCCGACGCATCTCTTTCTATTGTTTCTAGACTCCAGGTCCAATCCTATGAAATCTTTTTTCTCGAATGGTGCTAACAAAAGAGAAACTCTGTCTATTTTCTCCTTGGACCTCTCTAGTCTTTTCGACTCCAAAATCCAGAATAAAGAGTTCAGACATTCCATGGTGTGAACCTCTAAATCAGGACACATCTCGTCACCATAGAATACAGCACGCGTTTTAAAGTTTGACGGGGTACTGAACGAAGCTGGTGGTTCGTGTTTGTTACTCGATTCGGTTGGACCGAAAAGAATGACACGGGAATCGTACAGAGTGGCGGTGTACTTTACTTTTAGGGTTTCGTGAATTCTACATAATTCGTTTAATTCTGCTTGATTATCGTATTTTCCGAAAGTAATCAATCCCAGTAATTTTCTGTGTGTTTGGAAGTCACCCCAGTCGTTGTTTTCAACGGGATGCTCCTTGACGAATCTGGCAAGGATTTCCCGCGTACCGCCGGTCGAATCGACCACGGTAAATCGGCTGCCTGCCTTAGTGATCCTCTCGCATAACCTAGTAACAGTTTTCTGCTTGATTTGCGTACCGATCGGTCTCAACAGCAAAAGCAAAGCTGCGTGGTCGTGAGCGGTTTGCTCGTAGTCAGGATGAGACATTTTATTGTCGGGTACCGGGCTCGACAAAATAACACTAATCGCAGAGCGCATTTATGTCACTCGCTGCCTAATGGTACCTTCAAGTACTCGGTTTTACATAAATGACAAGAATTTCCTTTATCCCAACGTAACTCTGATACAATAATTCTTCAACGACACGATTAAACTTTTTATGCATGATACTGTTATTTACTGTTACATGTCACTTTGATAACTGTTACGATACGCAACCAATCCAGACGAAAACTAAAACAAAACTGCCATCTTGGAAACCTAACCTGCGCATGACAGATCATGCATAATTTTCTTCATCTGATTTGATCGGCTGACGATAGTGCTGCCACCGTAGTCGTAGCCGCAGAGAAAGAGGAATGGCGCCAACAAGTGTTTCAAGGAAGAGGAGCCTTTCCTTTTTAACTTGTGAACATTAATTAATCGTTTAAACTGATAATTGTGATCGATCGATGCTCGAGACAACCGTAGACCACAGGATGCCGAAAAGGTGTGTACCCTACTTCTTTTATAAGACATTGTCGCAACAATGAATCTGGTAACGCGATAACTTTGGGTTACGAACAATACCTTCTCAATACTTATTTGCGTACAACATTTTATTTCCACCTTAACCACCTAACCATATAACTTACAATCGTTAATTGTTGGCACAGCACATTAACGAGGAAAAAGATATATCATCTAGAACGTTCATTTGAGTATCGTAAAGTAAAAATCGTGATAACATTGATAAACGAGCTACATAATTATTTACAAAATAAAATCGTATAGAGAACCATTAACGTTATAGAAACTTTTAAGTGGTATAACTTATATTATTTGGGCACATGATTTTAAATTTAATTATACATTGTAAACTTGCCTCTAACACGTGATCAATTAAAGCTACAAGATTTTTATAAATAATTGTAAATCTATTTTGTATATAGATAACAATATATTGGCGAAGTTATTCGTAGAATGTAAATACTTAACGTTGCGTCAATAAATAATTGTTCTTTTGCGTAATTAAAGTTTGTGCATATCAAGAAATAAATGCGTAGAAATGTAAGATAGAGTGCGAGACTTCGAATAATTTCATTGGCAATTTTTTCTTTTTTTAAATCGTTTGTAGTCACAACAGTGTCAGGTGTATGACTACTGTACACGTAGTGCTTGTCCTATCGAGACTGATACATCAAATCTAAATCTGAATTTCAAAATAGAAATCGACCAAAGACGAGGATACTTTAAGTATTAACTCTTTAGAAGAACGTACACAATCTACCTTGATCGTCCGGTACGGAATGGTCCATAAACGTTTTCAGTAAGCTGGGGTTCATTCTAAAATGAATTATGATAAGTTAATGCATTATATCTTCTTCGATTAAATTTAACACCGCAACTTTTGTACGCACTTTTTAATCATATGATCGTAGATATAAGATGGTATAATCGTTATCGTAATAACGTTTCCGCCATTTTTAATCTCTGCCGTGATGTCCTTGTCTTTCAAACCAACAACGTTCTAAAACGTAAAATCGATTAAGTTTTATCAATCACGATCAATGTAATTATGTAACGCTAATCGAGAAATTCGTGGCACAATACCTTTCCGTTAACTTCTAGGATTTGTTGGTCCGTTAAGAGGCCATTTTGCGCAGCAGAAGAGTTTTTAACCAGGGCGATTATTCGTCCATTTTTAAATTGAAATCCGATATTACCTGAACTATCTTTGTGCATAGTTAGTGTCCGTTCGAATGGTCTAGAACGAATGGAACGTAAACTCGCGTGAGCGATCTTAATTCCGTTTGTTTCATTTGAAAATGGAAATAAACCAACCTATCGCGTAGTACTATTCTGATGCCGTTAACATCGGCTTCGCGCAACATTTTGTGGGCTCGTTCCATTGTGTATCCAGCGACGGAGACATCGTTAATACTTAAAATTTGATCGCCAAATCGCAAACCGGCGAGTGCAGCAGGAGAATTTTGATTTACGAGACACACGAAAATACCGTTGTTCACAGCGTGCACCCTCAGACCAACTTTACCATCTTTATCTTTGCATAGTATTAACTACAACAGGCATTAGAGTGTATTTTAATTTTTAAGTCGAGCCTCGAACATCTGCAGTGTATTTAAACTTAGGGATTAACTACCTCCCGTATGCCATGCGTAACATTTGCCCTCTGTAATCCTACCGACTGGCCAGATAATGGTGCAACCATACCGGCAAGGGCCCCGGATGTCTCAGGTACACTGACCGTCATCTAAAACATGTAGTTAATTTTTCAGATATCCTTGACCCAAAGAATCACAGGTATTAATTACACTTACATTATTAGTTGCAAGAGCATATTCAGGTATGTTCTCATCTAACGCTTCCCTGATCAGTTCCAATCCCATGTATTCTCCCAACGAAGGATACAATACCATGGATGAACTGTACGGTGGTGCAGATGGGACATTCTGTATTTGTGGCACCGATGGAACATTGTACTGTGACTCTATCTGCTGTTGAACCTGCAATTAAAGAGAATATGTTGCAATCTCATAATCTAATACAACAGCATTCCAATACAACCATGGTATACCTTTATCATTTGGTCCACCTTCATGTCCTCGAGTGTAGGATACAGAGACATTTTGTACACTTATTCTGTAAGTATATACACACAGTTTATGTACATATAAAATATTGTTAAGCCCGATGATAGCCATGTAAGTTTAGTAGGTAAGAAATAAAGAAATGAGCGAAAGTGGAGTATATTTATTTATTACGGTATATGTAACAGAAGCGTTATAATAGAGCGAGCCACGAATACATGCACGAGCCGCAAAATAAACGAAACAAGATGAAATTCAGTGAACGATCGCCTGCATGCCAATGCGATGAATCTGCTGGACATTTAGTACACAGATGAAACTTTGCACGTAAACACGTACGTACCTACGAATAAAATTCAGAATTATACCTTTCGCACGCAACGACTAAACTACCACAGCTGTTTCCCTAGGTGAAAGAGTTTCGATCAAGATCCCGCCGTCTCGTGTAAGGGAAAACAAGTTGCAGAACTTGGACGTTGACGAGATCCCTGGAAACCCACCGCTGATAAGCTTCGAACAATGAGTAAACCGATCCGGGAAGTAGAACGCTATCAACGACATTTCCCTTCGAACGACGAACCGATTGGCTCGAGATGGTTTCTATGATGTATTACTGCAAAAGAACAATTGGTTCGAAGTCCCGACCATGTGACAGGATGGCCGCCATCGAGATACCGCGCGCCAATCAGACGTCCCCTTAGCTGCCGCTGTTCCGAGGCCCGCGAAACAATTTGAATTTCAAACGTTGCCACGCGAAATCTCTTCGTTTTCCAATAAAATTACCAGAAACAAACCCGTGCTTAAGTTTATCGCACGGGAGGAAGGGAAACGAAACTCGCAAGAGAGATCGAAAGGGAACGGAGTGGGAATTGTTCGAAGAAATTCGTTTTCGGTTTAACAGCAGGTTTAACGCAGCGGCGCTTCGCGATGTAATCCGCCACGCGTTCGGCGGCGGATTGATAGCTCGAAAATCTATTCGGAACAGGCTTTGAGGAGGAAACCGAGGAAAAGGATGGAACGAGGGAACCGGAAAGCGTGTAGAACGTGGCGATTGGTTTCTCGCGCTTCGGCTTGATAGTTGACAAGTTGAGGAAGGAATTCGGCGAGGAAGGGGAAAATAGATTACGGTGGGGGAATAGCGGGTCGTTGGTTAATACGTAGGTAGTATTCAGTGGTGAGGCCTGCGTGCGGGCCGTGGTGAACCAACAGGTGTTTTGGAGTCGGTTTTGCCAGTACCGGTTCCCTTCTCGTCGTTTTCTAGTGGTGCCTTGCGTCGTACCGGTGCCTTTCACCGACGGACACACCATCGTCCTCTTCGTCCTCGTCTTCGTCCTCCGTCTTTCGTCCGAAACTGCGGGTAGATCAGCCGCGAGGCAACGTAACATGATGTCCGAGACTGCGGTAACGATGGACGGTTCCAGCAACAACGCCAGCAACAATCCACGACAAGTGCCCACGGTCAAGACGGAGCCGGGTCAATCGACCCTTTTGCCCGACATTAGATTGAACACTTCTTACTTCAGGACCATACCCGGCATCATTAAGTTAGTGCAAGTGGTGAGTTGCGGTCGCGTTATCATTCTCGGAACATATATATCTTCCTGGCGCGGCGGTTCGATAACACACGATAACGCCGAGACTTTGATTGCGCGACGAATCAGATCATCGAAATCGTTCGATGCTACTGCAACGTAATTTCTTGATACGCAATTATCCCGAGCAGATCAACGCGTCCCGCGCTTTTTCTCCGAAATCGAATTACATAATTCGCAGCGGCTCCGTCGATCTCGTTGTCGCCTCCCGATCATCGAGCTGAAACGTTTCCACGACGGAAGGGTGTGTGCACTTGTCTCGCGTATCGAATCGAATTTTGGCACTCGGCACGTCGTTGTTCTCGGCGCCAAGACCCTCCCCGCGGGCATCTTTCGCGCGGCATTGTTATTTTAAACGCGCGTGTTTTCGGAACGCCCGCGACTTGCCGTGCGGAACGGCGACGCAGAGCGAGAGCGAGGCCCTGGTACTTCGTAGGATGCTAATAACGTTGATTGGTAAGCGCTAAGCAATCGGCGCTCGCGATATCCTCTGGCGAACGGGCCAAAGTCGCGTATACGCGACTCGCGCGCGTCTTGCACGTAGCCAAGATAGGATCGCGATGGTGTTTGCATCGTGACGTTGAACCTGGCTGCAACGGATTCTAACCGCGTAACGGTAACCCCCTTGACCGAGCTCCGGAAAATCTGTCCCCGAGCAAGAGACACAGAAATCACGCGGCAGCCTCCGTCGACCACCTGACGGCACCGATATATTCCGTGGGAGCCGGTGTATTCTCGGCGTCCGTTGCGAAGGGCACTGTACGGTCTCTCTAGCCCGAAGCCCCTGCCTCGTTGCCCGACGAAATCGTGGATACCGTTAGGCGATCAGCATCGGTAAGCATCGTTTCTCTCTGGTTCACGCACGTGCAGCCGAAAGACACGCCCGGCCAGCGTTTCCTCGTTTATTTGCCGGGGATAATAAACCGGCGGTTACTTTCGATCGATGGAACACCGGGTAAAAGTTCCTATCGATTCGGCCGAACCCGACTGGCCGAGCGCGCGCGGCGAATGCAGCGATATCTCGGACACGGATCGCCGGCCGTGGGAATATCGGTGCGACCCGTGGACGCCCAGAATTTCCGGATTAATTATGGTGTCCCTTGCACGGTGTCGCCGGGAATAGCACGGCGAAAGAGAGAGAATCCGGCGGCGGGACGCGAGTGCCGACCTTCGACTAGCGGTCTCTCGGCGCGCAAAAATAGGAAAATGGATGCGTGACGAATCCCCGACGGTGACTTTGCGACAGCCCGATTAAATTACCCACCGATGGAAATCAAATACGCCGCGCTGTTATTTCATGAGAGTATATTGTCGTCCACGGACGGCCGGCCGGCCCCCACGGTCCTCGACGGAAACCGCCGCGTGTCTCCATGATCAGCCGCGTGCTCGCGTGTCCCGCAACGTGCCCGCAATTAACGTGCCGAGGTTTTTCCGCGTGGATCGGCCGCGGCATCCGAATTTCCCCGTAAATCGAGCGGCGGCCCGGCGACACAGTGGTAAACCGGTTCTTTGCGGAAAGAACGATCCCGCCGCGCCGCGAATTAAGAGAAGAACGATCGAACGGCGACGACGCCGGTGGCACAGTTTCTACGCGATCGGCCAGATCTTCCTATGAGCTAGCCGTGTTCGATGGCCATACATGTTCATCCCGATGACCGGGCACCATACGTGGCGTCCCACATACTCGGAGTTCCATCCTACTGGCGTGCGCCGAGGCCGTGGTCGCGGTCGCGTCCGCGGCAACGGTATCGAATCGTCTTATTAAGAATTCAAAGTGTCCTTGACCTCGCTCCGAATCACATTTTCAGCCCTGCCCTCGTCGATTGTACCGCTATCGCGTCGGCTCTGGTTTCGTCGCCCGTAAAAAGCGCGTTCGATTCTCGGCAGCCGGTGCTGAAATCGTCGGGAACCTTGGTTAGAATGCATCGGCGGCGCGTTTCTCATTATCGTCGCGACAATATTTAAGAAAACGTCGGCCTTATCGTTTTTATCTCGCGAGCAAATAATGCAAACGCCCGCGGACCCCAGGGCTACGCCGCTCGCGACCGTCCTCGGTTTCGACGGAACAAGATTTTCAGCTGGTTAGGGTTAACAAGCGCATGCCACGATAATCCAGCGAGCATAATAATACACGGTGTACACGCTCTGTGTGTCGTGCCTCTAGCACGCGTCATATTTATTCCCGGCTACGTACGTATGCGCGCGCGTGTCACTGTGTAAGTGTATTTTTTTTTGTTCGAGACTGTGTATGAGAGAATGTGTGTACGTGTGTTTGTGTGTGTGCAGGTATTAGACCAGTGTACAGGTTTAGTTTTACGTTACGTACGTTGCACGCGACCAAACGAGCTAAACATTTTTCATGGCCGCCGATGTTAAAGGCCGCGCGGAACTTCCAAAGTACGCTAAATTCTCTGTAATCGACGCACAGATTGCGCAGAAAAATGGACGCTTTGGGAAGAGGAGGCACGATTATTCGAGCCGCGTTTTTATAGTTGTTGGCAATCGGTCGCTATAAAATCGTGCCGCGAGGCGCAAATTGTTCATTTTTGTGCACGATCCGAGCGTCGATTATGACAAAATAATAACCTCGAGAATTAGGGAGGCTTTACTGTATTCGCGAAAGTGTTTCTTAAACGCGTCCCGAGAAAGTAGTACGATTATAGTGCGAATCCATGGTCGATCGTCGTGCGGCGATAAATGTGGGAGCACCTTCGCCGCACCCCTTTTCCTGCTCGGTCAGGAAATCGACTCGTGCACCGTCCGGCTTCCGAGGACTTCCTAAATGGTTCGCCTTTTCATACGGAAGCGTTCTTTTAAAACGGATCGATCGTTAATAACTCCGGTCACGTTCGGGCCTTGGTCGGGCATCGAATACGTATGCAACGTAAAACTATGTATGTATGTATGTATGTGTGTACATACCTCCAGTATCGCGCGGGATCGAAGGGTTCGTCGATTTCGGTCAGGGTGATCCGGACACGGTTTTTCTCCCGACCAACACAATAGGCTCTTTCATCGGCCGTGCGAATAATCTCGGTGGAACACGTGCGAAAGTTACGTGCATTTTTCTGGACATAATTTTGCGGTTAAACGAAGTTCGTTTATTCACGGGTGAAATATCTTTTAGGATATTTAAGGTTTGTCGCATCATTTTACGAAAATGGATGTAATTTATAAAATATTAGATATTTCAATGAAATTATAAGATACGTTGCCTTCGTTTGAAATACGGTAAATTCTCCCTAATTGACGCTAAGATTGTGCACAAAAATGGAGAATTTGGGAACGGGAGATACGCGATTACTTGCCGCTCTATGTATATTATATATTATTATAATATTATTATATATAATATAATATTATAATATTATTATTATTATAATATATAATATAATATTTTATGTATTACATGCGGCTCATTTTTATAGCTGTCGATTGACGACAATTATAAAAACGAGGTGCAATGTGATTCGATATAATTCCATCAATGATAACTATAATCAAATTCGAAAGTGTTCTAACGCCTAACAAGGGATGATAGGTTTCATCGAGTTCGTATCAACAGACTGCGGATTTTTATGCAAAATAAAAATTATTCACATTTATTGCGGAATACGAAAGCTACAGAAACAATAGTTTCTCTTTTTAACGATTTTAATTACACGAAAGGAACACGATATTATTTTCGTGTTCTTTAAATGTGCTTCCCGTCTCGTATTCGATCTACACGTTTCTGTCAGAAATACAGAAAATCCGCGGTCTAACGATCGAAACGCGATCGATATCTCGTCGGAAGTCGAGATACAATCGCTCGAAGGTAAAAGCGTTTCTCAATCATTTCATCGTGTCACGCTGGTTTGCGTTCACGATTGGTATTTCACACCGGGATCCTAGAAAGCACTATGGTTGTTCCTAGTCGGAAGATCGCCACGTTCCTTCGTTTGCTTTTCCACTTAGGACACGCAGAAGCTTTTCTCGACCACGCCAGACGGAACGAACGGCTCGACGGGAATTGCGCAACGGCGATTACTACGAGCGTTCCTCGAGTCGTTGTGCCATGCGTTCTTATGGTGTGTAGGCTGGCCGCGAAGCATATCGGCTGGTGCAACAAGTTATGCACCGCAGTTAATTGCACGCGAGCGCTTTATACGCAAGGACAAACCGCGCCCCGCAGCGCTAGAACAGCCGCGGCATTTTCGTGTCGATACAGTAAATTCTTCCTAATTGAAAGAACAGAGATGGACAATTAATGGACAATTAGTCGAGCCTCGCTTCTCGCTTTTATAGAGTTCTTGGCAATCGATAACTGTAAATATAATATAACGTAAGCCGCAAGGCTCGAGTGATAATAGTAAATTATTATATAATTATATGCAATTATAATAAATTATTATATTAATAATAATATAATATAATATTAATATTAATAATAATATTAATAATGAATGTTATATAATAATATATATAATATAATTACTATATAATCCCAAATTGTCCATTTTTGTTGCCTGAACGTAAATTAGGAAGAATTATCTCGCGACGCGACACCGCGCGATACGGGGAATGGATTAAAATCGATCAGATTGCGTTTGAAGAATCGTCGATCCACATCAACGGCATCGCAATATTCTATTATTCGCGTGTTCCGCAGCCATTGGTCAAGCACGGCACTCGGCGACCGCGGTTGGTTCTCCTCTCGTCTCGTCTACCGGCGGAATGACGCAAACGTGTAAAGAAGGAAATTACGTGGGAGTTGAGATAAAATAGGTTGTAGTGCGCTTATGAATGGCGATGATGCTACGGACAAACACGATGATTCACAGCGACAGTTCTTCTGCATCGACGAGACGGATAAATAATTTTCGCGTCGAGCCGCTGCCGCCGCGAGAATAGAGACGCCCGTCGCCGCGGTTCCGCGACGTTCGCGCGCGGCGAACGCGCACGCGGACCGACTCGAAGCCGGCG